CTTTCTATTAAGAACCCACCCACATCCAACATTTTTTTCTTTCTATTAAGAACCCACCCACATCCAACATTTTTTTCTTTCTATTAAGAACCCACTTTTTTCTTTCTATTAAGAGCCCACCACATCCATCATTTTTTTCTTTCTATTAAGAATCCACCCACATCCAACATTTTTTTCTTTCTATTAAGAACCCACCCACATCCAACATTTTTTTCGTTCTATTAAGAATCATTTTTTTCTTTCTATTAAGAACCCACCACATCCATTTTTTTTTCTTGGTTTAATATCCAATTTGGTCCCTGAACTTTCATTTCAAAACTTAGTTCGTCCTTTAACTTCAGAAAGCACCCAAGTGGTCCTTTAACTTCATTTTTCTGGAACCCAAATGGTCCTTCCGTTGACAGGCTGCATACTTGGCACGTTAAGTGTCCAACAATTACCACTTTTAATTTTTTTCATGTCTACGTGGAAAAACCAACTCAGCCAATTGATGATATAGCACCATTCTTAGCCTGCCGATGTTTACAGCTTTGGAGTCCTGTTGTTGGAAGTGCTTACAGGGAGAGCTCCATCGCAGTATCCTTCACTGACAAGGGCCCAGATGGAGGAGGAGCAGACGGTGGATCTTCCAAAATGGGTGCGATCGGTGGTGAAGGAAGAGTGGACGACAGAAGTGTTCGATCAAGAGCTTCTAAGGTACAAGAACATTGAGGATGAGCTTGTGGCAATGCTCCATGTGGGGTTGGCATGTGTGGTGCTACAGCCAGAAAAGAGGCCTACAATGGCAGAAGTAGCCAAGATGATTGAAGATATCAGGGTGGAGCAGTCTCCATTAGGGGAGGAATATGATGAATCCCGTAATTCGCTTTCGCCTTCTCTCGCTACCACTGAAGATGGACTGCCGTGATACTGATCTTTCATTACCAATGGTAGATTTGCTCATTCTAGCAGTATCATCCCTCCATTTCTCTTGCGAGCTCTTCCTTGGACCCTCTGCTTGTCCTGTGTTCCTCTGTAGTATGTGTAAGCCTTCATGATTTTCATTGTCGTAGTTGAGATCTCAGTCTCATGATCTTCCCATCTTTGTGATTGCTTTATTTAGATTACAGTTCTGTAATGTAATTTTGACATTTGAATCAGTTTATCAAATGATTTCTAAGTCTATACAGTCTCGTTTTCTTCATCTGCACCTAAAATCTCATACATCTGATGGTCTTGGGTGGGGATCTTAATCAAAATCAAACAAATAAGAAAAAGAAAATCATGATAGAAGCATGAGGAATGTTGAAAAAAATCCACATTTAACAGTTGCATTATGCTATTGGAATACAAGAAGCAGAGGCCTTTCCGCGGCATCAGTTTTTGTTTTTGTAGCATTACAATGCCGAATGATAATACAAATTCTGAAAAACTGAAGACAACATACAGATAAACAACTTTCGGCTTGTGAAGACTTCCTACTGTAAATCTTGCTCAATAAGCATTTTCAAGGAACTGCCTGTACCTCCTAAGTTCTACTTATACTACACTTCCAGTACTGTAGTGGATAACCATATCTGGCAAAGGAATAAAAAATGCAGATGATTTTGGGTTCGGGTTTGAAGAAGAAGGAATCACAAGACAAGGTTCAGGGGATTTAAGGTTCGAAGAAGAAGAAGGAATCAAGATTTACAGGGATTTAGGGGTTAACGAAGAAGGAATCAAGAGTGGTTCTAGAGGATTTATGGGTCGAAGAAGAAGGAATCAGTTTGATCTGCAGGCATCATCGATTGCAGGAAGCAAGCTTTCTCGATTTCTGGAAACTAAGCCGTTGGAAACATGGAAGTAAATACCGGAATGGTTACCGGTTATTACTAGAAGATTTAGGGGGTTTCGAAGAACAAAGGATCTAGGGCTTAAAGGGGCAAAAGGGCAAAGGAAACAGAGAGTAAAGTCAAGAGTCTGTAAGAGGAAGGGGAGTCTGCATCGATAAAAGCTTTGCCCACTATTTTGTTTTATTTAGAAAGGCTGGAGGGACAAAAAAATCAAACGTGAACTAAAAATGGTGCTATATCATCAATTGGCTGAGTTGGTTTTTCCACGTTGGCATGAAAAAATTAAAAGTGGTAATTGTTGGACACTTAACGTGCCAAGTATGTAGCCTGTCAACGGAAGGACCATTTGGGTTCCAGAAAAATGAAGTTAAAGGACCACTTGGGTGCTTTTTGAAGTTAAAGGACGAACTAAGTTTTGAAATGAAAGTTCAAGGACCAAATTGGGTATTAAACCTTTTTTCTTTCTATTGAAACCCACCTCTCTCTCTATTGTTTCTTGTATATATTTACAATTTTTAACCCTAACATGTGGACTAATACGGAACAAACATAGGGTTAAAATAGTAAGTATAAACAGAAAAGAACAATAGTCAACCAAAGAAAAAATTGGTGTCATTGTTGTCTTATATGGTGTGACAGTGACTCTGGGACGCATCCTGCCCCACAATCCCTCGCATAAATACCCCTCCCCTCCCTCTTACCCACCCCCACTCCACATCACCTTTCCCCCTCCCTGCAACTTCAATGGCAGAATCCTCCATGTATAAATTCTACAGCCAGAGCCAACCTTCTTCCGCCAAACCCACCAAGCATGCAGCAGCTACACCCTCCACCTCATCTTTGCGACGTTTTCCTTGCCTCTACTGTCCCCGGGAGTTTGACACCTTTCAAGCTCTCGGCGGCCATCAGAATGCTCACAAGAGCAAGCGAGCCGCTACTGCTCGGCCAAACTTTCCGGCCAACAACCTGCAGGAATACCGCCTACTTCCTCTGTTCCCTGCTAATCCACAGCAACAACCCACCTCATCCATACCATTTCCCCACTTTCCGGGCATGTGTCATCCCGTGGGTGCAGCCGTGTTTGTTGAGAAGTGCATGGAGCCCATCCAGCCGCAGCCGCAGCAGCTGCATCAGGACCTGAACCTTGCTTCCAGCTCGGTCCTTCGGAGCTTTCTGGGCGTTTCGACTGCTGATGCTCACTCCACTTCCACTGATGTCGATGATTCTGCCAATATGGACCTCACCCTCCGGCTGTGAAGGGCTTTAGACTGAATGGT